GTGTTGTTGCCCGCTGTTTCCCTCGTGGTTTGTGTGAGGCGCTTTATGTGTTTCCGTTTGTGATGCAAGAATTTCACAATGGCGTGTTGCATTAATAGTTTCCAAAAGGGATCCTGTCTAGTCTAATACATCAACTGAATGCAAACTCTTAATGTTTACCATAAACCAGATTCGCTAGCAATTGTTAAATGAAAATTGGTATCATCCGAACTAACCTATTGTTTATACATTAGCAATGCTGGCAAATAGAAGATGTAAAAGATTCCAAATCGATATCGCCACGTATCGGTAATATACATAATATTGTAAGAAATCAAAATGTAATGACGAAACAACGTTATTATGTCACTGCAATATATAATAAAGTTCATGTATTTTCATTACTAAGAACATCACTTATCCTGCTTATATTATATAAGATATCCGTTATGAAAACGACGGGTAATTCGAAGGCAGATACAATCACACAAAAGAGCAATGATTCAACCAGCTTAACAGGAAAGCAACTTAGCAGACAGGAAAGGCAACCACAATTAATCAGGTGCACGCCAACAGCCGATTCATTTGTCCGTCGCATAACCATATTTTCAGGAGGCGACTGTGTCATTTGTGAATTTTCACAAATCATCTGACATTAGATCCAAAACGATAAAAAAACCAAAAATACTGACATGTCTTAATCTTAATTTAAACTGACAATTGATGAGACGAGGTGAAAATCTGAACAAAAGAGGAATTTACACAGAGATCCTTGAACAGGTACAGGCAGAAAAAGGCCATGTGCCCCAGAAGGGTAAGCGACGTCTTTTTCTTCATCGACAGTACCCGCCATGCGAAAACAACGAAATCACCAGGCATTTCAATCTAAATATTAACAATATTAATCCGCTTTCTTCAGACAACAGATCACGGTTGAACAATATCTTGTTACCGATTGTTAATATACAGTACTTACCATGCGATGTTTGTTTGCTTATTTGTTTTTTTGTTCGATCTTTACGTGTTTTTATCAGGTAGGGTCATTTCAGGCAAGGTTTGGGGGGAAGAGGAAGCCGGAGTTCACTGTATACTTATATAGAGTAATTATAAATCATTTGGTATTCTTTAGCAACTGCCCCGCGTAGGCCACGAAATAACAACCAAGAGGTGGAGAAATAGCGTTAAAGACGGTCAAATGCCTTAATCCCTTGACCTCCGCAGCGCCACCAACAATGCGACTAATTTCATAAACATGCGTGTGTAATATTTGCGTTGAGTGCTTTAAGCTTATGATACAGTTATTCTATAACGTCAGCAATATTTCTATAACAAATAAAATCAATAACTGCATCAGCAACATATTAGAACTACTGACGACAAACGTTAAGGGCAATATCGAAATTTGAGAAGAGAACCAAAGTGGAATCTCTACTTTCTAGAAACTATTGACATTTTTCTTTATGTGTTGTAAATGCTCAATGCCGATCGTTATACGAAAAAGACTTAATTTGGTGTGAAAATGTCTTGATTGATTAGGGACTGAAAAAAATTAATCAACATTCGTTGCCTGGCAAACGGCTTCTTCTCGGGAGAAATTTGCGATCTATATCGAGACAGATTGGTATAGGCCTGTAATGGACTTGTCAAGTCAAGAGGTGTAGTGGTACATACATATTAGGGATTGCGTGCGGTCGCCCATCTTGATAGAAATTTCTCTTGCTATATCCATATATCAGATTTTATTTGGACACCGCTAACTGAGGTAAATATATAGACCAATGTTCTTTCCTGCTTATATATAATATACGGAAACTGTGAGCACATTGTCCCTTATTTATAGCACGTATTCAATATGGGACACATTCGTTGCACTATCTCACGATTTGTTATAATGTATAAGCCTATTTATCATATCTTATTCAGGTAAGCACACCCCATTAGACTTACGGCGAGAACAAAGCATTTCCTTCCATAAACAATCAGGGTGAAGCATTATACATTAACGTCAAAATAAACGGAACGATAAACACCACATAACACATTATCAAAAATGCAAATACGTTATTGCGACGAAACAGATGTAAAAATTATTGGATTTGGATTTGTAAACAGAATTGTACAGGCACGTACAAATTAATCTGGTAATGCATCTTTGAACAGTAAGGCCACGTTAAAATGTTAGGGTCAAACCAAGCTTAACATCACACACAGTATTGGAGATTTATAGTCTACTTCATATAATATCTTGGAAACGTTTTGCAATTTTGTTCATTCCATTTTGGACGTATTAAACACTAATTATGAATCGCTTTTCGTTGTAGTACAAACATGTGCGTGTATCGAAGTGTATATTCTATATCTAAATATATATAACTTTATATATTACTTGATAATCTTTAGTGCACAGAGTAAAATGTATAATTGTCCCAATTTAAATTAACTACTGTTCAAAACCAAAACTTATTGAAAAAGATATATATATATATATATATAATCTTTACACCTAGTCTAGTTGAACGGCGATATCATACTGGAAAATGTAGGTCGAGCCACTTGATCATCATTGACGACGCCATGACCACAAAATAGTTCCAAGATTGAATGATAATGATAATGTCAATTCACATTTAAACCACATTTTCAAAAACGCTTTTTCAAATGACATTTAGGAATGCAAGCATACATCACGCAACCTGTTTATGTGACGACAAGATATATGATCTTGCGCATGCGCAATGGACATGGGTAAGTATTGATAAGTACATAAACTGATTTTAAACAACTTTGTAACGTACTCAAGGGTAAATATTCCTAAATGTTTGGGGTTTTCGTTTTTCAAGGATGTGATGAAATATGATTATAAATGTGTGTTTTTGGTCGGTATTTTGAAACATGGTCGTAGTTGGTGAGACGTTTGTAACACTGTTTGTAGTTGTAAAGGGAGTATGATAAATTAACATTACACATTGTTAGCATGTCTAAGTGAGTATATTAAGTGATTCTAATTTGGTAATTATTGAAATCATTATTTCTGTGTTCATATTGTCATAGTTCATTCATATTCATGTTTTCAACAAATTGAAATGAGTAAACCGGTTTTGAACATGGTGACAATTGGTAGTGTCCAGAATTCCCGAGATAGTGGTGGATTTCGACAATAATAGTCGGTATACCACGATGGTAGTTGAAAGTCCGAAGTTGGCAAGATGGTGGTAGATTGTCGTGTGTTTATAAGATATAAATATGAAGTCTTGCACTCACAAGCTGGTTGTTGAATAAGGATTCATTATTAATGAAAACTACAGTGATTTTTTTTTCGCTCAAGCATTCATTTTTATCGAATTTATGCCTGATTGAGTTACTTGTTGTTACTGGAATATCATTCATTATAACATATTCAATTGTTTTCAGAACTATTTCTGTAGTTGATGCGTGGTTGCTGGAGTTTGCTCGAATGTATTGTGGTAGGTACAGGATAATGGCGACTAGGTAGAACAGTAATGGTTACCGCCATAAGCCATAACCCTCTGTAAAATAATCTTGTCTTTTTTTAGAAATTTGGCTTCATTGCATATGATTAAATGGAAATCTCGAGTGACGTAACAGAAAGTGTTTAACTTGCAAAATCATCTGTTTTGATTGCATCTGTACTTTTTAACGGTCTTCGTAATAAATATATTATTTGTCTACACATACTTAATCGATCTTGTGCTAGGGATTTCAGTATAGTTAAACATTATGGCTAACGTTTAAGCCGAATCTTCCGATGTATAAGAATGGATAAGATAAAACGCGATTATTTCTGTTGTCATAAAAGCTTCCTACCCAGTTATCGATAATTAATCCTGGAACACAGATCTTTACTTTTTTTCTAAAACGCGTTCAGGTCTAAAATAAACATTATCGAACTTGTTGATATGCTACATATAAAAAGTGGCATTGAGTCATAACCCCAGTGTAGCTAGATTTTATTATAACAGGAATCCTGTGTTTTCATTCCGATAGATTTTCCAGATCGGCAGTACTGTGACATTTAACGTAGCTGGAATATTTACAATGACATTGATTTCCTTGTCAAAAGCGTCAGCTAGAATTAAGTATGTCGCGCGCGAGATGGTCCGATAATGAAGGAAGAAGAATACATTTCGATGGAACAATCCCTCTTTTATGCAAAGAACAACCAACATTTAAATCATTTCCACTTTGTTTTGCGGCAGGAGTGGGCACCAGCGTCATCCTTAAATCAGCGTGGTTGTCATTGATTTTACTATAGCTTTTCTGTTGTATATCAGATATATACTGGAATAACTAAAATACATATCTAGCATGACAACATTACATTTTTTACAGAAGGATTTCCTGTTTTGAGAGAAACGATCAAGGCACATTTATTATAAAATAACCTTGTCACACTCCTGAAACACAAGTCTGTTTGAAAGATGGTTTTTACCAAAACCCTTTCAACTTTTCCTGTGTTGCAGTAGACTGGTGGTCTTGCTGATAGCACAGTCAATATCAGTGTGACCTTTAAAAGCCACGCAAAACATAATCTAAATGAAAACGGTAGTTACGGTACCAACACATCCTGATAGTGGTTCGTGGAATGAATTTGTGTTCCTTCCTATACTTTTGCGATACCTAAAACAGATTGTACTGAGAATGGTGATGAAATATGTCAACTGCCTTTTCAGAGTTATTTGACACACATTTTTGACCAAAAAATGTTGGCATATTTTTTGTATACTTTTTTTTCTTTTTGCTTTTGCTCCGAGAATACCAACGAGAAACGAAACGATAAAAAATATGCTGTTTCTTTGTTTATTTCTACAAGCAACCCGGAAGTGTATAGTTGATATTTTCCCATACAGGTGTCTATCTAATCACAACATATGTTTGTGTTCACCTGCCTTATCAGAGCGCTGCCATTAGCTACATAAACACCAAGCTTACCTTATCGGGAAGCTGACAGGAGTCACTGAACAAGATGAACAAACAAACCAAAACTAACATATTAAACTTACCTGTACGTTCTCATCATCACATGGGACCGTACCATCAACATTGGCCATCCATGCTTCCAGGTAGTCCATTTTGTGTGACAAATCCATGTCCCCTACACAATGGTCATTTTACGAGCGTTATCATTCTGTCTGTAGCGGTCATTGCTAGCAAGACGTCCGAACAATCCCTTAGACCCCAGCAGATTGATGTTTTCCCGCTACGCTCACGTGCTACAGTGCATATGGTAAATCAATCATTATTCTCTCAGAACAACTGCATGCTTATGGAATATTATGCAGCATTGTTTTCCTTTAGATAAGGTAAAATGGCAAACTTTATAATATCAGTTCATTTCTTACAGACGTTTCGGGACTGGTTAATCCCGGAATCAACCATTTCTACAGGAAAAATATTGACGCGTATTGAAGTAAGCACTAGAGGTTGTAGTGTAAGTCCCGCCTGGTAGGCTTAGGCACAAGGTCGGGGATATCGACAGCCGTACAGACCACATGAGGTAAATCAAATCTGGGCGACTCATCTCTTTCAAAAGAAAGCATATGTTGGACATATTCCAGACCGATGAATTTAGAGACTAAATGGACCACCATTTGTATATTTATTAAGTGTTATTAAGAATGCTACCATAGCAACTGGGCTCACAGGACTACGTCACATTTTGCTGTAGTCTGGTTTGCTGTTGGGCCTAATGAACGATGAAAGCGAAACGGGGTCATCAAGGATCAAGTGCAGTACTATGTCAAAGAAACGCTCAGATCGATCAAAAATTACATTCAACTTCTGACAGAAATGAAAGCATCAGATTGACTTATCTACTCCTAATTGCAATTAGCATGATACACTATGATGCAGGCAGTTTAAGAGCGTAGAAGGTCGCGTACAGCAACTGGGACCTGATCACTGTTCATGTTAGGTAGAATAAACTATAGATAAATGAATAATTCAGTTGTATCTAAGATCTACTGGGAAGGAACATAAAATTTCAACATATCATTAATTCATATAACGTTACCAGGAAGATAACATCCGACCGTACTTATTGTCCTAGGTACTGCGTCACTGATGGCTATTCGAGATTTAGAATAAAGGAAAACGTCATAGGTACACGTAACACCTGCTCGACGAGGAAGGATGGAAACATTATACGATACCATTTACGTAATTAACCCCATGAAATGAACCGTGTTACCTAGCTCTGATGATAATCACTTAGTATACAAGCAGTAAAACCCCCACTATGTCCATAATGCCAAAACTAGAATAGTACAAGATTTCCTTAGATATGTGAAAAGTATCAGGGCTTATCACAGAAGAATATCAACTAAATTGAACGTTTATTTCATCCCATTAATGAAAATTATTTAGTATTGAGTTTCTTATAGAAATACTTTAGCTTGCTGCTGGAAAATTTGATAAACGTTAAATTATCACTTGACTACCGGTAACCTATCTGTGTGTTTGTCATCATTATGGTAGTATTTCACATGTGATGTCATTAACTCATTATTTATTTAATACGTATGCCAAAGTTGTGTGTGTATAACAATGGACGATGTTAACGTTCATTTTATATCAGAATATTTAAACACATATTGCATAGCCTCAATGTTTGGATTTATCGATAAAAACGCAATGCGTTTAGGCTTGCACTCGAGCACACGGTCTTGCCATTTAAATATGCTTTGTTTGTTTGTTTACATTCTTACATTTCATATAAAAGCGGTTTAACTGTGGAAACAAAACATGATATATGATGATATATATATACATGTATATATGTAAACACGTAAGTGAAAGACATCGATTTCACCATTTTATGCTTAGAACCGTCTAATAGACGACCACTATTTATGGTTTCTGGCATAATTTTGGAGTTCAATTTACAATGTTTACAAGGTCACTAGTTTTTTTTGTATCTTTGATGAAAATGGATGGCTATCAAATGTAAGAATAATGATTTTTTTTATTTACTCTACCTGCATCGAAGTGCATTTACATCTGGATGATAACATTCATTTATTTAATCATCGCTATGTAAGTACAATAAATACAGACGTAGAGAATTAAAGGAAATACTTTATCTTTAAATAATACAATGCACATTGTGATGAATGCATATAACTTTGGAAGTTAAAGTGTGAGATTTCCTTAACAACAACATTAAAGAATATAAAATAGTTATGCAATAATGTGATAAAACAAATCCTCGTAAATCATAATTCTGATACATTTATTGGTTTAAGCTTCAGCTTTACCTTATTCAAGGTTTTGGTCTTGCTTTTTAAAAAAAATCTGATGCTACATTTAGATTTTCGTCGAACTAACAGTTGTTTTGGAAATAGAATGGAATGAATCCAAGACAAATCCAATACTGGAATGTACACTGGCTCTCGGTTGTCATTAATCTTATGTACACATACATGTATAGAGAATACGACGTCAGCAACATAATTAGTTACAGATTTCGAATTCCCCAAATCATACTAAAATGATGATTACTGTTTCTCGGCAAGATTTGCAATTTCGAAGCGCTTCCGACGGATTTTGGATACGATCTATGATATCTGTTTTTCCCCTGGACTAACGGTAAAATCCAACCAAGATGTATCATAAATGGCTAAATTGGAGAAAATGTTCTTCCAGTAATCTGTTGAGGGACTAAACGTGTATGAGCACGCATTTCTGAATCTGTTTAGTATGGTTATTTTGGAGCGTAGAGGTAATGAAACGTTCGTTTAGAATGTACCATTTTGACTACCGATTTTCAGATCAGTTTTTGTCTGTAGTAACTTACCAAGTAAATGTAAAAGACTTTTACAAATTTCATCGATTGTACGTCATGTGTGCAAAATATTCATTTTTCATCTCAACGCTGTGGTGGATATCAAGTGTTCGTCTGGGGGTATTTCGCAGTATATAAATCATTACCGCCTTTAGAAGTTGTCTGTCAGCAGCGCGGATGGAATAGACATATGAAATTCACGCTCAATAACTTACTGGATGTTCGTTTCGATCGAAGACGTGTAACTACAGCAATGATAATTATCTAAATGACGCAATTAGTTCGAGCGTACATTGCAAAGAAATCTTAGGTTGAATCAATCAATATTTTTTCAAAAATTACAAAAAGAAGATTTGATTAATGGTATAACGTACGCAACGAAATTTCTGTTTCTAAAGATTTTATTGTAAGCAAAGCTGCTTTTGTATATGAAAACTTCTCATCGCTTTCTCTATATACGAAAGCATAATGATTTGATTCTCGTCATCATGCAATATGTCTACAACTCACAGACAAACTCACAACTCATGGTTTCGAGAGTTGCAGTTTGATATCAATTATGCGGAAGTTTACCTTCGTCCTAATGATCTCATTAAGAATGATTGTATTTCTTTGTGATATAAGAAGCTGGGTGTATTTCATGTTAGTTTATTTGCATGTTGGTCACGCTGGTTAACATTTCGTTCCCATTTGATCGAAGTTCAAATCCCTCGATAGTGTCCTTACTGATTGCTTTTGTTGGTATGGCGGTGGTGGAGTTACTAAAATGTTTGACCGTTTTCATTACAAGCTTTTGGGTCGCGGGTTTGATGCCTACTTGAAACAGTCGCCGGGAAGTAGGACTTTACATGACCTTGGCTGTTAATAGGTGGACCAATTTATGTTTGACATAGTTGTACACGTAATGGCTATTAAATGTAAAAAAGTTGAAGGCAGTCACATAACGACAGCTATTGGATATATAGAAATATAGTCTATTAGAACGTGTACAGATGAACAAAATACAACCAAACCGGAAAACGTTTAAGTCACGTGATATAACGGATATTGATAAACAAGGTGAAATTCTAAGTCTTCTATTGGACGATAAAACATTCACTCATTGACTGGGTGATAGTTCAATATGTACCGGGAAGATTTTTTCTGTACTTTCATTTAATAACTTTCTGCATTCGTTATCAAGTTGCCGTTGGTTTTAATTAGGATGTTTGAACAACTTCATTTGATCTGGTCAGACACAATTTTATAAGCAACTGACTGTTCTATTGTGAGCAGTTAGTATCAGAATGGCTTAATCATACAGAAAAGCTGAAATTGAGTTATTGATTCTACAACCCTTTACAAAATTGACTCTATATAGCCGCGATATTATATTGCACTGTACCACTGCCTTTTTGAAACAAAATAAAAACGTATTTCTAAACATATAATTTTATAATTTCATATTGCTATAAAAGCTCTATTGTCTATCATCAGAGGTTTTAATATGTCCTTATGTCATGTTTTAATACCTTTACATAATGGTAGGGGCCAGAATGTATAATTATTTACTTGACTTCCTCCTGGAATTAGCCATATGCAGCTATTGAGGACATACCGCGACACGCATGCGCGGATTTCCCGCTCCAAGGGAACGATTTTTTTACTATAGATTACATAGCGGCATTTCAGAAAAATATTAATATATCGTTATGCAGAGAAAAAATCCAAAATGAATGCCTCTGATCAGTAAATTTGATGTTTCTTCGTTACAAATATACATTTTTTATAAATTTTAGATGAAAATTAATTGTGCCAATTTTAGCTGAAACTTACACGTGAATGTCCTTCATAGTCTCACCAACTTTTTAACAAAAAGATTATTTTGACAACTTCAATGTGAAATAAAAGCTATATCACGCCAAAATCTCTAAATACATGCCTCTGGCTATCACGTATAGTAACTTTCCAACACATTAATGTAACTTTGACAAATATTAATTGAAAATTACTTGTGTCCTTTTTAAGGTGAAAATGGCATATGATTTCAGTTCACGGAAAGTCCCATCACTGTAGAGGTAAACACGGCATCGATGTTACGTCAGACGAACTGCTATTTATATATACTAAAAGTATATATCTGATCAAAGTACATTTGATATCTTCAAAATAAAGGATTCCGTACTTAATCATGGAAGTGAATCATAAAATATAAACACATTTCCACACAGCGGCAAAGTTATAACCAAAACATAGTTCACAGTATGTGAGTATCAACAATTACTGGAGTTTATTTTAATGTCTCGGTTATTTATTTTAGCAATTATTTTCTCACAATATTGCTATCATCTTTGCACAGCTCATATTAGTGACGTTTGTTTACGCCACCCAAAAATGTCCCATGTACTGCTCGGCTCGTCATAATTAAGTTTACCCGTGTCCTAGACATATGTACTAATTGCTATATACGCCTCAGGGCAGTTGACTTTTACACCTCGGCGGAAGTCTTTTTTTATCCTCCGCTCCCCACCCGTCCTATCAGAAATAACGTGACAATGAACGGCCAATTATACATTTACACCTAAGGGGGTGTTACACGTGGTAATTTCCAAATTTCACGATTGCTACATTGTTTCAATCATTGAAGTTAACCACGAATTATCAAGCAGTACCTTTTCCTTTCCAATCCGACCAACATGATCAAAAAGAGACATTTAGGTCTCAGATTCAAAATTATAAACAGGCATTGTTCACAGGGACATATTACAGAGGGCAGTGGATGCTTTTCTGGTGTTCGCTTTTGTGTCTGCTCATTGAGCCGTGAAAGCATCCAGTTTGTTAGTTACCTGTGCCTCCTCACTACAAAATATATGCAGTTTTTGCACTGACTGGCCTGACCAGAACCAATTTGTCGAATAGTGAAAAAGGAATCCCATTTTCGTAACAAAAATAATAGTAATACTAAATCAAAACAACGAATCATAAATTACATTGATCAGACGGAATATTATTGAGATTTTTAGTGATATTTCAGATGTGAATAGCTCAAACTCGCGTTTTGTTTTTTTAAAAATCTAAACTAAACAAAAAGTATTCGTCACAAAAGTTAGCGAGATCAATTCAAAAATTCAGATTTCTACTATACTGTTTGTTTGGAAAAAAATTATTAGGAACATTCGGAGAATAATGGTAATTGAGCACAGCAACACTAATTATATCTAATTAACTCCATGATCATTATCATCAAAATAAAGAAAACATGCATTTTCTAGCATTTGAAACAACTAGGAAAAGGGAGTCTTAAATCTCCCTATTATACGTTTCTGAATTTACCTGACACAGTTGACATGCAAGACTTGGCTTAGAGTAGACTTAATCATGTTGGCGTGTTAGTATCGCATTTAGTACATTGTATATCATTACATTGGACTTGCATAACAATCACGGACTTGTCCCTTGAAAATTAAGACCTTGGTTTCATGTTGTAACAACCACGTAAAAGGACTACAAAAAAGTGATCAATCTTAATGAGAAATAAAAAAGGTCTTTTTGAAAATGCTGTGTCAGTAAATTTCTAATCATTGTCCTTTCCCTTAGTGTAATGGGTTACTTAAAGACATAGTTAACGGGATCCAATCCGAATCCTTAAAAAATAATTTCCAGTTGTTAATCTTCAAATTCCAATTGTTACAGTAATTATCAATTGCTCTGTTAAAATGTATTTCCAAATTCTGAATGTTCTCGCAGTTTTATTTGTTTAACCAAATCCTGGGGTGTCTTTAGCATACGTCCCTGACCAGATCAGATGATTTCTTCGTATACTGACTATAGTAAAGTGTGAAATCCTATAGGACATAAAGCCGGACGATGAGAAATTAGTCCATGAAAGAGATGACTATAGTTCACACCTGTCCAGTAAACCACAGGGGTTCTCAGTTGGGGGTTTACTGGCGCGTCCTTCGAAATAACTGCCCGTATGCACTCATATTGAATTAATTGGCCAGTATCCTCCTCACTAAGCGGCACAATTTGTGCCTCAGCGCCTCCTACAGTTTAGTTATCAACAATTAAGGCCTCCTGCACCAATGACGAGTCCTAGGAAGATGAAACAGGTGTGCAATGCAATTTAATATGTCTGTTTGTCATGCTGTATCTAATTCTAATTTGTTATTTAAAAGTGATTCCACATGCGTTTCTTTTGATACGATTTTGTTACCTGGATGCATTGCCACTGTGCATTAAGCGTTAAAATCTCTATTGAATAGGTTTCATTACTGTCATTTTTCATATGGTATAGACTTTTATTATCTATCGATGTGTTTCATCCTTCCAGTCAAAAAAAAAAAAAAAAAAAAAGAAGAAGAAGAAGGAAGAAGAAGAAGAAAACGAAGAAGAAGAAACCAACTGCACAATGCATTATATACCAATCGAAACTTTCGTTGCCAATAATCAATATCCGAAACTCTCACATTGGCTTTACCTTGTGTCATGAAGGATATTTCCATGTTTCTGATGCGAAATTGACGTTGATATGTTATTTACAATTGTCTAGTGCACTGCATCGCAATCCCTTTAAATCGATCTGTATATAATCAAGTGTTGAAAACGTTACCGTATATAACAAGAGGGGGTGTGCCTTTGTGTGTCTTGCATCGATCTCCTAGATCAACGTTTTGCGAGACAAAGACACTGGGTAGTGAACCCTGTATTCTGACAGAGTTAAGCAAACATCTGGGCTGAAATATGATGAGTTCAATTTCATTGCCATGGTAAAACAACATTTATTATGTTGCTACATGCAGAGTTACTTTTTGATGGCATTGTTTCCGGATCGTCTCCGGATCTAACAGTTGAAAACGGATGTTTCTTCTATATGATATAGATGTCTATAGCAGATGGTGTCAAAGGAACAGGAAACGCCTTCACAACAGAGCAAATCATTTTTCACATAAATTTACACACATGTACTTAACGTTGCTGTAAAATTGTCAGATATATAAAAATTGCGAAATTTAGTAAATTATGCGGCTAATGCACCGCCCAAACTAGATGTTAACATTTCTTTCCATCACCTTGTATTTACCTTATTCACCTCTCAGGCTTCAAACTTTAAGCCCTTAAAATCACTTACGAATCTTAGAAGGACGAAATAGCTGTGTGATGCATGTTTTTTTTTTCATTAAATAGTGCTACAGGCTTTTGTGACTCTTCTGCAATCTTCTCTATACAAATATAACTAACCCCTCAAAATACTTCACATATAAGTTCGACAATGTTGTTGAGAGAGTTCATGGTCCACTTATTGTTCATTCTGTTATCTCTTACAACCAGAAATGTTTTTCCCAATGTACTGATCTGATAAGGTTTGTTGTTTCAGTGCGCAAAATAGAAATTGGATTACGAATAAAGGAATATCTGGCACAAGATCAGTTTTCATAAGATTTTTTTGAAGAAAATTGTAAAAATAAATTCTACTTATGTTTTTTATGTAGAAAGTACACCTCAATTGACCATTTTGATAGCCATATGATCTTATTTAATTTGCGGAAATTCTTTATACAATGTAGGTTAGCGGCGCCCTGATTGCGTCATACAAGGTTTTCGTTGTTACAAACGTTTGCGTTGCCCTGATTGCGTCCTACAAGGTTTGCGTTGTTATAAACGTTAGCGTTGCCCTGATTGCGCGCTACAAGGTTTGTGTTACAAACGTTAGCGTTGCCCTGATTGCGTCCTACAAGGTTTACGTTGTTAAAAACGTTAGCGTTGTCCTGATTGCGTCCTACAAGGTTTGCGTTGTTATAAACGCTAGCGTTGCCCTGATTGCACCCTACAAGATTTGTGTTACAAACGTTAGCGTTGCCCTGATTGCGTCCTACAAGGTTTACGTTGTTACAAACGTTAGCGTTGTCCTGATTGCGTCCTACAAGGTTTGCGTTGTTATAAACGTTAGCGTTGCCCTGATTGCGTCCTACAAGGTTTACATTGTTACAAACGTTAGCGTTGCCCTGATTGCGTCCTACAAGGTTTGCGTTGTTATAAACGTTAGCGTTGCCCTGATTGCGTCCTACAAGGTTTGCGTTGTTATAAACGTTAGCGTTGCCCTGATTGCGTCCCACAAGGTTTACGTTGTTATAAACGCTAGCGTTGTCCTGATTGCGTCCTACAAGGTTTGCGTTGTTATAAACGTTAGCGTTGCCCTGATTGCGTCCTACAAGGTTTACATTGTTACAAACGTTAGCGTTGCCCTGATTGCGTCCTACAAGGTTTGCGTTGTTATAAACGTTAGCGTTGCCCTGATTGCGTCCTACAAGGTTTGCGTTGTTATAAACGTTAGCGTTGCCCTGATTGCGTCCCACAAGGTTTACGTTGTTATAAACGCTAGCGTTGCCCTGATTGCGTCCTACAAGGTTTGCGTTGTTATAAACGTTAGCGTTGCCCTGATTGCGTCCTACAAGGTTTACATTGTTACAAACGTTAGCGTTGCCCTGATTGCGCCCTACAAGGTTTGCGTTGTCATTAGCCAAACAGAATGACATATTTATGTTAATCATAATATCAACAGAAAATAAACGTAATGAAGAAATTAAATTACAACTCCAGCAGAGAGTTTAGTGAAGATAATACACACTTGTGCGTTTACCCAATAATCTACATGAAATCTTTAATCCAGGGATCCTTCTGTTTTGGATTTTCTGACTGATTATATTTAAACGGTTAAATTTATATTAGCGTCGACTATTTCCACCGATTTCGCATGTCCAAACTGACCATAGGACAGATATTTTGATGCTAACAATAGTTTTAAAAGTCATTAGAATGCGTTCTTAAAAAGGAACACAGCAGCCAGAAATTTTGCAACTTGAGCGGAATATCCCGTTTAATACGATTACCATATAATGTGGTTCACACTTATAAAAATAGGAATATTCTGACTAACATTCAGGCAGACTCGAAGAAAATGTCAAATTAATTGTTATTTTTGGATGGACATGGAATATTGAATATCCCACTTTATTCCTAACTTCCAAAATTCTCTCCAAGCTTTTGTAAAACATAAAAGAAGAAAATGTCTTAATGGAAATCTAAAAATGGATACATGCTATATTCCTAAACTTTTTGTTGGCTCTGGTAACTATATATAGATCTTAATTCTTCAGGAACACGTCAATTGTTGAGGGGCGCGGCATCATCATTTACGCTAACGTTTTCACTTGGTGCTAGTTCGTCTACTGGTGCCACAATTCTTATAAAGTATACATATCATGTACTCCGATGCTAACAGTTATTGAGATGGTCTAACAGAAAATCAATACCTATCATTACGATGCATATAGTGTTTGTGAATACGAGATATTGACAGTTCGGGAAACAGACAAAAATAGGATGTTATTGACGAACATCACGTTTTTATACCACTTTTTCATCGGCGCCTCCACGTTTACCCCATCGATACGTCAATCATCGTCGTACGGACTTCCGGTCGGTCGCAATCTGTCAGAATTTTGATAACCATTTCACAGTCCCGACAACGCTTCCAATTATCAGATTCTGGCTTCGTGACAGACCAAGGTTAAACCAACAAGGGAGGTCAAATTGCTTCAAAGGATGGACGAATCAAAAGTCATTTTGTATTGAAGAGGGGATTAATCTACCGTGTACATGACAGCTCACGATATGAGCGACAGTATGAATTAATACATGTTGTTTTTTCATCAGGAAATTATGTACATATTATATGTGTATGATGTAGTCAGACGAGTCTGATGATTTGCTATTTTACTATTACTTTAATATATGTATTGTGCTATGTACCGAACAAAAAACATGGCTGTCACACCCTTCTCTTGTGCAATGCTACATTGTAGAACCCAAAGAGCGAAAGGCCAAAAAGGTAGATAAACAAAAATAAACTTTCAGTACATTAGAGCGTTTTTTGAAATATAGTGACTGATTCTTCTAAATTTGAATTGTTAGGTCATGATTCATACCCGGTATGGAGGTTTATATCGAAACTCAAAGACAACCTGTTCTTTTCACAACTATATCTAGCTAATGAAAACTTTAAAATATTATAGACTAACATCTATGTTGTTTGAATCAGACGGAGCGAGGTAGTCACATCATAATCTATTCATCCAAGTAAAGATTAGAAAAAAGTTGTTATATAATCAGAATTTTTTACGTTAACGACCGTAGCGAGTATACACCATCTTACTTGAGTATATATTGATTAAATTAGATGGCGTGACCACACGAATATACCATACATGATTTACTTGCCGAAATACGCGCTGTTAAACGCTGTCTCACCATTTTGTTAACACTAGAGCATATGAATATTTGAAATAGTCAGAATTGCAATGCATCTAAACAACTCTATCTATTCCAGAAACTTATCGGCTACTTTTTTCTGAAGTAGCAATCTACCACCAGAAATTTTCTAGATTAGCGGCTCCGTGTCCTCTTGAATAAACAGTCGATAAAGTCATGGTACCGTAGCTAAACCACTGATCTCGATAATGGCAAGCCTCAAAGCTCAGACGGAACACATATATTTTGTTCCATTTTACTTATATATTGTTTCCTTGAATCTAACCATTTTCACTATTTTCACCGACGAATAACAAATCATTTACCAAAATCGGTTCCAGCACACTGTTTTTACTGCTTCACTACGCGTGTTACAACAATATTTGAGATACTCCAAGTAACGTGAAATTAAGTGATATCTTATCCTATTTTAAATGTGAATGACCTTCGCAACTAAACAACTGATCCGGGTACATGTAGACTCAACTAGATAATCTGACCACCCATGAACATTGTACAAGCTTAATCTGCCGAAATATCTGCTATCCAATTCCAATTCCTACGTCGCCTGTTTTTCAAGACTACCCTTATTTACTACCGGAGTATCGATGGGTTAGAGACGTGTGTACTGTACCACAAGGTAAACAGTATATGAATTCGCGATAATGTAGCTACACTTCATACAGAGTCACCGCCCAGGTTGTAGGTGCGGGCGTGTTACTATCATAAAATGGTTGAAAAATCACAATGAATACGTATTAAAGGATAACTGTGCATTATCATATTGAAGTTGAAGGCTAATTGGTTTGTGTTTACACCGTATTATGTAAACTATAATGTACATAAGATATGTTTGATTAATTTATAATAACATTGAAATCATTTTTTTTTTCTAATTACAGCACAAATCTAATCTATCACACAAGTTTCTCTCTCGTTGTTTTGGTCGCAGCTCGAGCACACGTTTTCTCCCTGAGGAAATTGAATATTGTGCAATGTATCTTCCACGCAGCGCTTAATATATTTCATTTGGAACTTCTTCGTCTTCATAACAGTAAAGGTCAATTAGCGATCTATGTATAGATACGCAAACATTAAGTACACACGGAACAAAACGTTGAAAAGATAGATATGACCTGCGGACCGACTGGGTCAATCAGATCGGTTATACTTATATGTGTATAGAATATTGATATGGCTATTTCTCCTTACCTTGCTGTTATTCCGTAATATACTTCCTTTCAACCTGTCTAAATAGCTAAAGTTTATGAGCCTTTGACTCTCTTATCTCAATCCATTTTTATCGATTATTGTTGCCTTGGACGTATGGTTACAGTGATGTGTTACGGATGTTACCATATACCATTATTACAGACAACGAGTATTGAACGACCCCAGACAGTTGACCATCACGGATTCCACACTATTATGTCCGGTTCGGTTAATAGTAAGCCTTTGAGAAGGGTGTCACCGTGTAGCTAATTCGAGAACAGAATACTCATGCTGGGACTGTTTAATCGCTCATTTACTGCTTATATGCTAAATAATGTCGATGAACAATTCTCCGGATACATTTTCAAGTATTTTCTATTTCTTCATTCATATGGAAAAGCATTATCAAATCTTTTCATCTCTTTATTTTCTTTCTTTCTTTCTCTGTCTTTCTTTCTTTCTTTCTTTCTTACACTTTTTAGTAAAGAATGGTCTTACCTACCAAGGAAGTTTCTAACTGTTTTATATATTTCTTTTTTCCTACAAATTACATAGAGTTTTCAGTTAATACTTTCCGTCTAAAGCAGATATAATTATGATGTTGAAAATATTTCTTAACTTTGAACAGTATCTGGTAAACTTTGATACATATTATTTTTTTATGTAAATGTCATAATACTGTATTAGTAATTGTATTTGCGGAATAACTACAAGCGAAACCATATAAAAAGATGACTCATATAGACTTGTGCATTTTCGCTGTTTTAAACATACAGAACCGTGATGATTTGAAATACATGTACGGATTAAATTTTCAAAAAGATTAACACGGCGAGAGTCGTCGATGAAGCAGAAGACGCTTACTCTTCCGGAACAGCTGGTGTTATTCTCCTTGTAACTTTCCGGGAGTCTCATAAATCTTTGGATTGTGGCTATGTTGACGTGTTGGTATTTCTTTTATTTTATTTTTTTTTTCAGAAATGAACAATTAAACATCAAAACGATTGATGTAAATATCAAAGTAAATATTTGAAATTAGGGTGTGTCTATAATGTGTGTAATAAAGTAATGTACTCATTGACGATAATATTGTTTAGGTCTTACCAACAATTTGATCAAGTGTAAAGGATAGATAAAGGCAGGGATTTGCGGCATCGTGTTTACAAATATATGATCCGTGTACCTCACATCGCGTTTGTTATCACTTACCATCTGTGAGAAATACCTCCAGGAATTAGAGTGTAGACCTATGGACAGACTTAGTCAATGTAAATCCATACCAATTCTTCACGCTGTAGATTATCCAATTAATATGATGGATGTCTGGAAAAGGAAGCTTATATATATATATCAATCCCGCTAAAGCGCCTGTATGCCAACAACCCGACAAACGAACTATTGGATCGGTTCATCATTTGTGTTGAAAGCATAGGTTCTAAACTTTAGAGAATTAGAAATACAAAACCCAAACACAGAGGTGAATGTTAATGGATTGGATCCCCAGATTGCCTATTTGCACTACATTGTGAAACATGTATCCCGAGGCGATCAATGAATAGACGACAATCTGATTAAATACCGCCCAAGAAAGTCTATTTGAATCTGAATCATCTCTATTATCGTAATGTCCAACTGTACATTTTTTTTGAAATATCGATAAACTTGATTGATGTTATCTATAAACATATCCAGCTTTTTAATACTATCCTTCATTAAAATGGTACATTTCCTGGCATGTATCAAAGTCGTGTAATTGGATTGACTGTTACTCGACATGTCCATTGCGAGCTAAGGTAACTCACTGCATACTTAGCAAAATCAATACCTTAATTGAAGACTTTTTTGACGTTAGTTTCAGATATATCTGTTTAACGAAATATTGTACATGAAAACATATTATTTTGCTGCAATAAACAGTATATACACATGCACAAGATTAATGATTTATGATCCTAAACTTTTTTCAGATTTGCATGCGTGGTGTATCGATTTGTCTGGTGTTTTATATATATAC